TATATATATATATAATTAAAAGCTGATATCCAAACCAAGTCACATGTGTATGTGTGTGTGTATATAAATAAACATATTACACACACTTACACACCCACACAAATATGTAAATACACATATATTTTTAAGGCCTTTCTGTTTTTCTCTTTAGATGCTGTTTTGGGGATTTTTTGTTTGTTTGTTTTAGTGAACTAAAACACACCTCCTACCAAAAAAAAAAAAAGTTCTTGTATATTTGTCTGTTCTCACACTGCTAATAAAGACATACCCAAGACTGGGTAATTTATTAAGGAAAGAGGTTTAATGGGCTCATAGTTCCACATAGCTGGGGAGACCTCACAATCATGATGGAAGGCAAATGAGGAGTAAAGTCGCATCTTACATGGCATCAGGCAAGAGAGAGTTTGTATAGGGAAGTCCCATTTATAAAAGCATCAGACTCCTAAGACTTATTCACTACCATAAGAACAGTATGGGGAAACTGCTGCCATGATCCAATTATCTCCACCTGGCTCCACTGTTGACACATGGGAATTATTACAATTCAAGGTGAGATTTGGGTGGGGACACAGCCAAACTATATAAGTCAGCCCTGGCCCCTCTCAAATCTCATGTTCTCACATTTTGAAACCAATCATACCTTCCCAACAGTCCCCCAAAGTCTACTCATTTCAGCATTAACTCAAAAGTTCACAGTTGAAAGTATCATCAGGGACAAAGTAACTCTTTTCCACTTACGAATCTGTAAAATCAAAAGCAAGTTAATTACTGCCTAGAAATAATGAGGATACAGGCATTGAGTAAATATACCTATTCCAAATGGAGAAATTGGCCAGAACAAAAGGGCTATAGACTCCATGCAAGTCTGAAATCTAACAGGGCAGTTATTAAACCTTAAAGTTGCAAAATGATCTCCTTTGACTTCATGTCTCACATCCAGATCATGCTGATACAGGAGGTAGACTCCAACAGGCTTGGGCTGCTCCTCCCCTGTGGCTTTGCAGGATACAGCCCCCATCCTGGCTGCTTTGATAAGCTAGTGTTGAGCATCTGCAGGTTTTCTAGGCACATAGTGCAAGCGGTCAGTTGATCTACTATTCTGGGGTGTGGAGAATGGTGGCCCTCTTCTCAAAGCTCTATTAGGCATGGCCTCAGATTCTGTTTGGGGGCTCCAACCCCACATTCCCCTTCCACACTGCCTTAAGCAGAGGTTCTTAATGAGAGCCCCACCTCTGCAGAAAACTTCTGCTTGGACATCCACATGACAGGCATGCAATGCATATAATAATCACATCAGGACAAACGGGGTATTCATCCACTTAAGGATTTATCCTTTGTGGTACAAACAATCCAATTATATTCTTTTAGTTATTTGAAAATGTACAATTAAATTATTTTGACTATAGTCACCCTGTTTTACTATCAAATACCAGGTGTTCATTCATTCATTTTTTTTTTCCCATTAGCCATTTTCATCTATACTCCCAATTCCTACTACCTTTACCAGGCTCTGGTAACCATCCTCTGCACTCTATGTTTATGAGTTCAATCGTTTTAAATTTTAGCTCCCAAAAATAACTGAGAACATGTGATGTTTGTCTTTCTATGCCTAACTTATTTCACTTAACATAATGATCTCCAGTTCCATCCATGTTGTTGCAAATGACAGGATCTCATGCTTTCCCATGGCTAAATAACACTCTATTGTGTATAAGCATCACACTTTATTTATCCATTCATCTATTGATGCACACTTAGATCACTTCCAAATCTTGGCTATTATGAACAGTGTTTCAGCAAACATGGGAGTGCTGGTATAGCTTCGATACATTGATTTCCCTTCTTTTGGGCATATAACTAGGAATAGTATTGCTGAATCATATGGTACCTCTATTTTTAGTTTTTTGAGGAACCTCCAAACTATTCTTCAGAGTGGCTATACTAATTTACATTCCCACAAACAGTGTACAAGGGTTCCCTTTTTTTCCACATCCTCACCAGCATTTGTTATTACCTGTCTTTTGGATATGGAGAAGTGGGGTCACATCAAGTTAAAAAGCCTTCTGCAGAATGAAGGGAACAATAAACAAAGTGAAGATACAATGTGCAGAATGGGAGAAATTATTTGAAAACTACGCATCTGATGAGGGATTAGTGATTAGAATATAGATGGAGCTCAAACAATTTTACAGGAAAAAAATCTAATAATTTGATTTTAAAAATGGGCAAAAGATTTGAATAGACATAGCTCAAAAGAAGACATGCAAATGTCAAACAGGCATATAAAAGGGCATTCAGTATCATCGATTATTGAGAAAAGCAAATCAAAACTAAAATGAGATATCATCCCTCCCCAGTTAAAAACCCTTTGTTCATTTTGATTAGAAATTTTCTAATTTAATTGTTTTTTTTAAATTAGTCAACTTCGGCAGTGAGAAGGAGGGAAAGAGTGGAACAAAGAGTACGAAATGAACTGTGAACAATCAATTAAGATAATTCACTATCTTCAGACCAGCCTTCTTTTAATGTTCAGTTTGAGAGTTCTTTATATATTCTAAGTAGAAGTCCTATGTTGAATCTTGTGATTTGCAAATATCCTCTAGTCTGTAGATTAACTTTTCATTTTCTTAATGTAGTCTTTTTTAGAGAAAAAGTTTTTAATTTTTATGAAGTCCAATATAGTAATTATATTCTCTTATGAGTAGTGCTTTTGGTGTTATATCTAAAAACTTCTCATCTAGCCCTACTTCTTAAATTTTTTTTTTTGCTTTATGCTAAAGTTTTTTAGTTTTACATTTTATATTTAAATCTACAATACACTTTGAATGCATTTTTAAATGAAGTATTAGGTTTAGGTTGAGACTCAATTATTTGCCTTTGGATATCTAATTGCTTTGACATCAACTGTTCTTCCACCAAACTGCTTTTATATCCTTTCCAAAAATCATCTGGGCATATTTGTGCTGTTTACTTTTGGGCTCTCTGTTCTGTTCCATTAATCTATGAGTCTATCCCCTGACCAATATCACACTCTCTTTATTATTGTAGCCATATAGTAGGTCTTAACTTTGGATATAATAATCCATCTCACTTTATTCGCTTTCAAAATTATCTTAGTCCATGGCGTATGCCTTGGTATATAAATGTTAAAATAAATGTCACTGTATCTGCAAAATTTTTTTGGAATTTTGATATGAATTGAATTCCACCTGTTGATGAAGTTGGAGAGAATTGACATCTTTATTATATCGAATCTTCCTATGCATTACAAGGTCATCTCTCCATTTATTTAAATGTCCTTTGCTTTTGTTCCTTTGTGTCCTGTCATTTGCAGCATAGAGATCCTATGTGTACTGTTAGATTTGTACCTAATTATTTCTCTCTTTTTGAAATAATTGCAAATAATCTTGTATTTTTAATTGCATTTTCCACATATTCATTGTTAGCATATAAAATATGATTGATTTTTGTGTGTTGGTTTTGTATCCTATGATCTTGCTAAACTAATCTATTAGTTCTAGCAGTTTTTAAAAGATTGCCTGGTATTTTCTATGTATACAATTATGTCATTTGAAATAGAAACAGTTAAATTTTTTTCCATTCAAACTAGCAAGAATTTGAATGCATCCCCCAAAGTTTTGTGTTAGAACCTTAATCCCCCAAATGCATCCCCCAAAGTTTTTGTGTTGGAACCTTTAAGAGGTGATTAGGTCATGAGGGCTCTGAATGGATTAATGAATGATGTATTGCAGGAATGATGTAATTATCTCAGGAGTGGGTTCTGGATAAAAAGGATGAGTTTGGCCCCTTCATATAATCCCTTCTCCATCCTTCTTTCTCTCTTGCACCCTTGCGCTTCTGCCTTCTGCCATGTGTTGATGCAGCGAGAAGGCCCTCACCAGATGTGGGTCCCTGCACCTTGAACTTCTGAGCCTCCAAAACTGTAAGAAATAAACAATTTTCTTAATAAATTATCCAGTCTGTGGCATTCTGTTATAGCAACACAGAATTAACTAAAACTAATTTCAGTGCCTTTATTTACACTGTGTGCCTCATTGCACTGCACCAGTGAGAATTTACAGCACTATGTAGAATAAGAGTGATGCTAGCAAACATCTTTGCCTGGTCCTGATCTTAGGGGGAACTAATTCAGATTCTCACCATTAAGTATAATGCTAGCTTTTGTGTTTTCTGTAATGAACTTTATCAATTTGAGGATAATTCCCCTCTGTTTCTTATTTTTGGAGAGATTCTTAAAATTATAAATAGATGTTGAATTTTATCATGGATTTGATCTTTATTAACTGATATGATCATGCGATTATCCTGTTAATATGGTAGATTATATTGACTTACTTTCAAATATTTAAAAGCTTTGCATATCTGGAATAAATCCCACTTGGCTATGGTGCACAATTCTTTTTTACATAAGAATTACATAATTATATTATAAGAATTACATAGTAAGAATTATGTAATTATGTAATTCTTACATAAAAAAAGAATTATGCATTCAAGTTGCTAATATTTTGTTTAAAAATGTTATGTCTAAGTTCATGTGAGATATTGATCTGTAGTTTTTCTCTTGTAGTCTCTTTGGTTGTAATATCAAGGTAATTTTGGCCTCGTAAAATGAGTTGGAAAGATGCTGTAAAGAATTTCTAATTTTTGGAAGATACTATATAGAATCAGGGTAAGCCTTCTTTAAATGTTTGGGAGAACTCTGATATTGGAGTGACTTGGATTTTTGTCATAAAATCTTGATTCTTTTCTATCTACATTCTGTCCTTAGGAAATTTAATTTGTCTATTTTAAAATATGTTTCACCTGCCAATAAATCCCAAATTTATATCCCCAGCTCCATTCCATTGCACTTAGAATAAATCAAACCTTCCCAGCCATAGCATATCAAATTCCTAACTGGCCTCATTTTTAACCAGTTCTTAAGTTAGGTCCCTGTTTGTCTGCTAGGGTTGCATAACAAATGACCACAGGCTGAGTGACTGAAACACCAGAAATTTGTTTTCTCACAGTTCTGAGAAAGGCTAGAAGTCCAAGATGAGGGTGCCAGCAGGGTTGGGTTTTGGTTCTGGTGAGGTATTCCCTTCTGCTTTGCATATGGCCTCCCTCTCACTGTGTCCTCACTTGGTCTTTTCTCTGAGCATGGAGAGAGAGAGAGAGAATGAGAAAGAGAGAGAGAGAGAGAGAGAGAGAGGGAGAGAGAGAGAAAGAGAATCTGGTGTCTCTTCTTATAAGAACACCTATTGTATCAGCTTAGTGCCCTGCCGTTAGTCTTCATTTAATCATAATTACCCCCTTAAAGGCCACATCTCTCATGCAGTAACAGTGGGGGTTAGGTCTTCAACATATACATTTTTAAGAAACACAATTCAGTGCTTAGCAGCACCTAATCTTGCTTCCTAGAGTCTACATACCTTGTTTTCTTCTCTAAATCAAGGTCACCCAGCTCACTCCTATCTTAGGAGCTTTATGATTACAATCCCTGAAGTAGTTTTTCCCTAAATCAACATGTTTGGATCACTTTTATTACATCTCAGCTCAAATGGAATCTCTCTAGTGAGTGTCATGCCCTGACAACCCAATCCAAAGTCTTCTCTACATCTTGGTCATTGTTTTCTATCCCATTGCCTTGTTTAATTTACCTTATATAACTTACTGCTGTCTAAATAATCTTTTTCACTTCTGTATTCTGGGTCCCTTGTCCAGTTTCTGGGATATGGTAAAGGATAAAAAATAATTGATAAAGTTTAAATGAATGGGTTTTGTTTAAACAATGCAGGCAGATTACATGGAACCTATTAACTATATGGATTTCAGCGTGCTTGGTGGTATTATGAAATCCCTAGAAATGAGCCATGAATAAGAACCTCTGGCTTATATTTATATTTTCAAGAAGATTAATAAAAATAACTTTATAACTTGTTGATTACAGAGAACACATTTAATGACTTTAAATTCCTATTTCCTAGGGTTTGGGTGGAAAAAATGGTAACAATAGTAATCGTCTTAATTTCCTCTAGTTTTCCAGATCAGAAGTGAGGACAAATAGCATGGCTGCATTCTTTGGATTCTTCCTTTCTAATTTATCATCCAGAAAGTGCAAAGAAAGACGTATATTCATCTCCCCATGTATACAATCTAAACAGTGCATGTGAAAAGAGAAGGAAAATATATACATGTACAACATTATTTTCAAAAAGGAATTGTATTCCTTACCCACACAGTGTTCTCTGTTGTGAATTTTATGGTAAACCATCCATACACCTGAACATAATTAGCCTTGTTAGTACTTTACTTACATTTAGCTTCCGTTTAACTGCAAGATAGTTGTTAATGGATGAAATTTGTTCTAAGTGAGGTAATAGGTCTTCAATCTTTGAATAAAATAGGGATTTATAGGAAATTTCCATTTGCATCTTTCAGAGTTATCAAATATTTAGGGGTTTGTAAAGAGCATAGAATACCATTTAAATTGAAGTCAAAAAATACCTTTCTTACACTCTATAAGAGATTTGAACTTTTAAGAGATTATCTACATGCGAAGCTTTGATAAAAATTTCAATGCTTTCTTGAAAATATGTGATCAGAAATGCTGAGGAAAGATACCAAAACTTTTCTGGGTGGTTATTTTCAGGTTATTAAACTCTTAAATCACATATTTTTAAATGATTTATATTTGTGGAAATTTTAGTAATAAAATAATATTCAAGAACATCTGCTTCAATAAGCATATTCCCCTGAATTCAGAAAGCTGACATAATTTGTGAGCCAAAGTCTATGTTCACATCTTTTCTATTTCAAATGTAAATTAAATGTAACACTTGGGAGACTATAAAGAATGTAATTTGGCCAAGAGAAAGTGGCTGCCTTAATTTAACATTCTTTCTTAGACTGAAGCAGGGTACATGTTCCTCAGTAGACAACCAGAACAATATAGGTCATTGCGTGATTTCCTAAAATCAGGAGATCTTTTGCATGGCACGCTCCCCACAAAGTGAAAAATGGCTGGCTTCCAGAACTTGATTTTTTTAGGACAATTTTTCTAAAACATCATAAAAATGCAACTCCATATTCTTATACCTTAAGTACATTTCTTGTCAAATTCGTGACTTTGTTTTCACATATTGCTTTCCTAACTATTGCTCCAGGTGAAGGGTGAGTCCTCTTCTCAAGATCAATATACCTATAGCATGGAAGGAAGAAAAAAAAGGCATTAGAAGAAGAAGACGAAAAACCCATTCTGATGAGATAGTTGTTGGCTAGCTCTTGAAGACAGCTGTACATAAGACTGTACTGCTAGCAAATATATTTTTAAATAGTGACATGATCACACATGAAGCTAGCCCAGCAAAATACTGTTCCCAAACTAATATCTGAGATCCCCTGAGTGAGGTAGAAAGGCAAGAAATTGTTTCTATCAATAATGAACAGACAGCCAACATATTAAAATAGGTTTTCAAAATATAACAGACACACAGGGTATGTTGCAAGAGTTGTAAAATAGAGAAGAAAATTACTTTTAAGTCAATCTTCAGTTTCTTGTAATAGACCAAGGAGCTTAGAGAATTGCATATGAATGACAAAAACTATATATAAAAGAATATAAATATATATATATATATATATCTCCATATATCCTAGATAACTAACATATTAAGGCTTAGAAGTAGTAAAGTATTATTATTTTGCAAGGTTTACAATAATGATTCTGATCCAAGAGCTATTTTTCCCCCAGGGGACATTTGGTAATGTCTGGAGACATTGTTGGCTGTCATGATTGAGGTGGGACTTGGAGAAGCCACTGGCATCCAGTCAGCAGAGGCCAAGGATGCCTCTAAACCTTCTACGGTGCTCAGGACACTCCCTCATTCACATAAAGAATATTCTGACTCAGAATGGCAATAAAGTCAAGACTGAAAAATCTTGATTTAGATGTATCATTTGGACAGGCATACAGATGAACTTTTAAGAAGTCTTAAGTTTATGGCTGAGTTTATTTAAGGGAAAATATCAGATACCTGCCGCTGAATAAAGAACACACTTTCCACGTCACTTCTCCAAAAGATTAGTCAATACATCCATGTTCCCACTGCCACATTTTAAAAGATATGCTTGTTTATTTAATTTCCTAAATGAGGGAGAATAAGAACATTTTAAGTTATCTCAATAATTTCCAGAGGACCTCAGCAACTAGGACATTATACCTCTCATCTGAGGGGAAAAAAAAAATGGCAAACATTTCAGGACTTTTTTGTTTGTTTGTTCTGGCAAAAACGGAAAGGCTACAAATGCATTCACTTTCAAACTGAGATTTAAGGGCATTTTATGAGTCTTTTGAATGCCTCTCCAAGTTTTGCAGGAGTTGCTACATTGAAAGACTGCAAACTTAGTTGCCATAAAATAGACATTATTTTTAATTGTTTCCTCTCAGCCTTATCACATATATGTACAAAAAAACAGCAGCATGGAAAATCATTATTTACAGTTCTGAACAGCTTTCATACTGTCATCAGTCTATAATCTAAGGTGTTTCCGCATTGAAAGAAAATATACTGGGGCAACAATGTGAGGGAAGAAAAGCTAGAAACTGCCAGATGTTCTTGAAACCTTGTATAGATACTTACACAGATAATGTCTCTCTTTTGTAACTTCTCTGATTCCAGGTATCATTATTCATGTGGAAGCGTAGGGAACTTGTCTCCAACGTTGAAGGTCAGTGTAAGCCTCACCTCATCCAGACTCACTGAATATTGAGGCTGCATAGAGAATAGTTCCAGGAATCTATCCAATTTGATTTACTTTTCCAATATTAAAATTTGGATTTTTTTAACTGAACATGCCAATTCCTAAAAAAATAGCATCAAAAAAGAAAACCAGGCCTTCTTGCATTAAATATCTGGGGATGCTGAACATGCCCATCAATGAGTTGGGCCAAATATCTCTGAGGATGAATCTTTGTAAATAATCATTTTAGCTGGACTGATTCCTTTTGTCTATGTGTTCCCCTTATTCCATCTAAACTTTAGGCATTGTAAATGTGTAATATACAGGTTAGTTCACCTGATAATAATGATTGGACTATACTTTTTACTTGATTGATTGTCTCTGGACTTAAATTAACTGTACAGATGTTCCATTTTCAGCCACTATAGTTCACAGTCTATATTATCAGGGTAAAATTCAACTGTAAATACAATATTAGAAGTTTTACTGCTGTAAGAGATTGGGAATTGCAGGAATGCAGTGATCTGAAACTATGAGTCATGGTATGAGTTCTCCGCTTTTATACACAAATTAAAACAAAGCAAACAAAAACCTGCAAGATGAAAATAATATAAATAAATTTAGTAAACCTTGTAAACAAGTAATTGTCTATTTTTTGGTGTGGTCACTTCTCTCTTTACCTTTGTTTATTACTAAAAATGATACTATGCTCCCAAAGAATTTTAGAACAAAGAACATGGTGAGTTACTTAAGGAACAGATAATACTGTACCTTATAATATATGAAAATTGGTTTACAATGATTGGTTTCTTTTCGTTCAAACTTCAAAGCAGCACACCAAACAAGACCTTCAAGGCTCAGAACAAAGTCAGTGTTGACTGACTTTGAAAGACATATAAAATTTGAAGGACAATAAAATCAAAAGACAATAAAAGTTTTTCATTACTGAAATCTGAGGAAATATAAAACTGAACATTCATGTTAGAAATATTTAATCACACAAAGATCATATTCACAGTTATTTTAATTAATTTATTTCTATAGAATCTTTGCTGTATCATTTGTATCTTGGTTACTGATTTTCATTGACTGAAAAATAATCAGAATACCTTTTTCAAACCACCCATTAAAGTCCTTTCACATAAGAGGCAGACAATCTAATAATGATGCTCTAGCATAAACTGCATTCTGAGGTGGTTACTTGAATAACCATCTTGGTTACCCCTCATGGGACCGTAAAATTTCTTTCAAAAATATGTCTTTGGTCTCAGGGCACGGTCACAGGAGCACCAGCTGAATGTGTGGGAATGGTTTATGCTAACACACTTTCAGTCCTGAAATTGATCAAAATCACATACCATTAGCTGTTTAAGAGTTACTGTCATATTTCCACAAGCATAACAGCACATTCAGTCTGATATTGAAGCTCAGGAGGCTGATAAAGCACTTTCTGCAGCAAGATGCTAACCAAAAGAAAACAGATCAGGACTTATGTGCAGAACTTGAAAAGAGAAATAAAACATGTTGTGACACACTTGATTGTTTCAAAGGCTTTGAACAGAAGACTTCACACATATTGGGTTGTGGCAGAATTAATTGGTAAAGCTGCTGTAACAAAGCGTACTTAGAGAAAATGATTTATGGCAACATTCCTTTCATTTTTTGTTATATATACATAAAAACAGGGGAAAAAGCATGGACGCCCCATGGTTCTAAGGTGTCTTTGTTTACCTTATGCTAAAAATGCATCAGGAGAGCAGGCATCCTTCATTTTCAGTTAGTTATGGTTCACTTTTATTTTTATTTTTCATAATGGACTTCTATTGAGCATCTGCTATGTTTTGAATAATTTACCTCACTAAATTCATCACATAAAGGCAGAAGCCATGGATCTGACAGCTTAGGGTGACAGGCTAAGTCTTGGGTTAGAATTGCATGAGTATTTCTTTTTCCACTGTTCCATAGCTACTTTCAAACAGGTTAACATTACCCTTCTAAGACCTTTGTCTTCTTCAAAGAGGATAAAGTTTTCTATATCATTGTGGAGCTTGTTTGTACATGGAGAAAACTGTCGCCTTCTGGTGAATTACATTAAGAAATTAAATATAAACCTAACGCATACAAACGCCAGTAGCAGGTAGAAGGCCACTAACCTTGGTGAGTCCTGTGGATATTTCACTTCCCAACATCCCTTGAATTTCTGTCCTTGTTTCAGAAGTGAAAAAACAGATGTTTGGGGAGATACAGAAGTCTGTGGAAGTTGAAGGTGTTAATAAGTGGTGCCCAGGTCTGCTTTATTCCAAAGTCTCTACTTTTTACACCACAAATTATTCTTTGTAAAACTAAAAGAGGGAAACACTAATTCCTGGATGCCTTGTTCTGGTGGAGGCACTAAATCACATCACAGAACATCCAATTACTTGGCTCTCTCCTTGGACTTCAGAAGCCTACTCTCTCTTTGTACAATCCACAGCATTGTCCGCACCATTAAAATCTTACAAAATGCTTTTCCACTTGTGGATTTTGAGAATTTCAACATCTAAATTTTTTCTAATTGTTGTTAGGACTATAGCATGTATTTAAAAAATATTATTTCAAAAATGGAATTCCTTTGGGTTTACTCATTATTTTCCTATAGATTTTTTTTTTCCTGCAGAAACTCAGTAATAGAACCTAGTCTTTCTCTGGGAAGTCCCCATCATACATTCAGTACTTGTTCTTTAAAAAGGAACAACCATTAAGGGTAATAAGAATGGGACTAAATGTTCTCTATGAAAAGATTCTGGAGACAGTGTCAGTGCTTCCTTAAAACATTCCTCAGAACATGTTATTTTTTAAAACAATAACACATCCTTTGAAGCAAAATTGCAGTAAAATGCTTTTATTTTGTTATCTTCTTAAAGTGCAAGAAAGGTAAAGACAAATATTAAAAACAGAGTCAAGCCCACTGATGCAAATAGCTGTGGTTTGAAATTCTAATAAAAACAGTTTTTATCATACTGGATCAGCTAACTTTAATCTCATAAAGTTTTTAATCTAAGTCTAAATAAAAATAAAATGCTTCCAGAAAAAAAAATTACCCAGCATTAATAGTTCTTCTGAAACATTTTTAATTTTTTCCATCTGGTTACTTCCAAGAAAAACTATTCAGGATTTCCAAATAATGAAGAATCAAGCTAGGTAAGTCCTACTCACAGAATTTCAGAAAAATTACCAGAGGGAATAAAAAGTGCTCTTAAATTTCAAAGGCACAAGTTTTCTCCACCAACTCTAGCACATTTCATGACCTCATAACCAAGGTCATGCAAATAGTCCACCAGAAGAGATTATCGCAATGGCTATGCAATATCTCTAGCTTTTTATGACAGTATTGGCCAAACCAGGCTAGATGGCAATAAGAAAGACTAGAATTTTTATATGGCTAATTTTCAATCATATTCAGATTCTGTTATCTTGACAGGTACAAATATCCACACAGTAAATTATCCATTTCACATTTATATTCTTCAGATAATTAAAGGCATTATTTTTACAAAGAGAAAAAAAATTCCTCTTTGATTCTCCATTATAAGCTCAAATGTTGAGAATAAGCAAGAAATAGGAAATGCCTATTTCAATAAATGATGAGATTCTTTATCTAAAACTGCCTTTGTATCCTCTTCCACTCATGCATGCAATTGACATCATCATTGTCATAACTTAGCTGGATCATCCAATTTATTGCACATATATTCTACTTTACACGTAACTGCAAATTATGTTTCTAAATTTGCTATCACTGCATGACAAAAGCATCCCTTCTGTCAAATTTAAATAACTTTTGACTCACCTATCTGCAAGCATATCTATCTATTTATCTGTCTATCTGTCTTCTATCTATCTATCGATTGATCTATCTTCTATCATCTATCATCTATCTACCTATCTACCTACCTACCTACCTACCTACCTACCTACTTATGTACCTGCCTTTATATCTGTATGTGTAGAAGTCATTTAAAATTTGTATCAACCCTATGGGAAAACACTATTATTTTCTGTATTAATAAATGAGGAAACTGAGTCACAAAAGATAAAGTAATTTGCTAAAGGTACTACAACTAATAAACAGAATCAAAATTCTGTGATCTGACCCCAAAAGTCAAAGTCTTTAACCACTTATAATTTTGACTCTCATTATATGTATGTACTCCATTACAACAATTAATGTATAAAGCAATTTTTAACTTCTGTACAATGGTGCATTCCTTTATGATAAGGATACATTTTGAGAAATGTATCATTAGGCAATGATGTTGTTAATCACCATAGTGTGTACTCATAAAAAACCCAGATGGCATAGCCTACCACAAACCTAGGCTATATGGTTTAGTCTGTTGCTTCTAGGCTATAAACCTGTATAACATATTATTATTCTTAAAACTATAGGCAATTATAACACAATGGTAAGTATTTGTGTATCTAAGTATAGAAAAAGTACAGTAAAAATACAGTATTGTAATCTTATGGGATCACTGTGATATGGGATAGTTATATGCAGTTTATTACTGATGAAAAAAATTATGTGATACATAGCTGTGTATGTCTATTTCCTTAATAGTTTGTAAGCTCTTCAAAGAAAACATTTTCGTTTCTATGTAGCCAGCAACTATCACAGGGGCTAGTACACAGGTAAAAGAGATTTTTTTTGAATAACTATATAAATAGTTAACTGAACTAGTCACATTGAAGTTATTTTTTTTCTCTAATAGCTCTGGATTTTTAAGGTTGAAAAAAATACTATTTGTCAAAGCCAGTCTACCAAATGGTTTTCCCAATTATCCTTACCTCCTAGTATTGTATAGTCTTCCCATATACTGTATCACAGTTTGTGTGACCAATAGAATATGGCAGAATTGATGGTAGGTGCTTCTGACGTTAAGCTATAAAAGACTGAAGCTTCTCTCTTCAGTCTTTTGATTTCTTTGATTTCTTGTTCTGGGAGAAACCAGCTGCCAGGTCTTGAAAACACTCAGGCAGACCTGTGGGGAGCCCCATGTGGTGAGAAACTGGAACCTCCGAATAACACTCAGCAGAAACTGAGGGCTTCCAACAACCCCATGAGTGATACTGAAAGCAGATCTCCCAACCCCAGTTAAGCCTTCAGATGACTGCAACCCGGTAACAGCTTGGATGCAACCTCACAAGAAACACTGAGCTAGAATCAGCCAGCCAATCCATTCCTGGATTCCTGACCCTCAGAAACTGATAATAATAAATGTTTGTTGTTTTAGCTGCCATGTTTTATAGTAATTTGTTACAGAGCAATATGTAACTATCATATGCTAATATTAACAGTGAGATGGTGGCAAAATAGCAACTCACAATGTGGGAGTGGCTTTAGAACTGAGCAATGGAGTTTGAGAAAAGTATTAGTGACAGCTTGTAGTGCCTTGAACACACTGTCAATAGAAGACTTGTGCTTTTTCCTAAAGCTACAGGTGAGGTCTCACAGGTGAATGACGTAAATGTTAGAAACTGGAGAAAGGGATCTCATTATGTTATAGGAGAAAATTTAGTAATGCTTTTGCCTGAAGTTATGCGGGAAGTAGAAAAAGTACTCAGTAAACTGAGTGATCAATAAAGATATATAAATATCAAACAAATAGATATTTCAATAAGTGATAGTTATATTAATTATTGTTGTAACATAGTAAAATAAATATTTAACAGGAAGACAAAAGGGCCACTTCTGTGGTAGATTTTGACACTCTTCAAACTATTTACTGGATCACATTGAGGTGTCCTTCCCTCTTGAGGGAGAGTTTTACACCTTCATCCTGTTGAATTCTGACATGTATATGTGAGTTGACTTAGCCAATGAAACATGAGTGTGGTAGTAGCAAATACAAGTTTTAGGAGCTAGCACATGCTTCAATATTATTATTTTCCCTATGGTGAAATAGATAGATAAGAGTCACTCCATTAGTCCAGGTCCTGAAATAAAGAGTTCTAAAACCAATCAGCAGTGGAGATGTAGTGTGAGCAAGAAATACATGTTTGTGGTTTTAAGCCACTGTCATTTGGTTCCTAACTTAGTGTTTCCTGACTGGTTCAGTTTCAGACAAGAGGTAGAATTGGAGGATAAGGAGTACTTTGACTCATGGGCCATTGGAAGAAGACACTACAGATAGACAATATTGCAGAGACAGGGGCATCAAGGTGTATGAGATCATGAGAGAATCATGGATGTCTAAAATGTAATGCAGAAATTAAAGCAGAAGCTCTAACCCAGCTGCCATAAATTAGAAATCAATGCTTATAGTTGTACGATATGATACTCAGATCTTACTGTTTTCTAGCAAAACTTGATTGATATAACACTTGATCTGGTTTGGCTGTGTCCCCACCCAAAATCTCATCTTGAATTGTAATCCGTGAATTGAATTGTCACTCTTTTATTTGCCCATAATCCCCACAATCCCCATATGTCAAGGGAGAGATCAGGTGGAGGTAAATTGAATCATGGGGATAGTTTCCCCCGTGCTGTCCTCATGATGGTAAGTGAGTTCTCACAAGATCTGATGATTTTATAAGGGGCTCTTCCCCCTTCGCTCAGCACTTCTCCTTCCTTCCACTTTGTAAAGAAGGTGCTTTGCTTCCTCTTCATCTTCTATCATGGTTGTAAGTTTCCTGAGGCCTTCCAGCCATGCTGTGAGTCAATTAAACCTCTTTCCTATGTAAATTATCCAGTCTCCAGCAGTTCTATATAGTGTATGAAAACAAAATAATACATCACTGAACTCCAATTCCTAAAAATCTGAAATATCAATGACCAACTCTCCCCAACTCTATGTTTATTTTAAAATAGTTGACCACAAGGTTCCAGATGAAATTCACCATCTTTTAAGTAAATAAAGAATTAATGGAAGAAAATTCTCAAATATTAAATGTAATAGGTTTTTATTTGGGGGTTATTTTTTAGTCATTTATCCATGTATAAGTTAGCTTGACCAGGTCACCTATTCCACCTCAAGAAAATTTGCCCACCTATTATGATAAGGAGTTATTGAATTATGAGGAATAGAATGATATGCCCCAATTTTACATTACAGAGTTAACAATGGAAGTATTTTAGAAGATGAAGGTTAAGTCCATGAAGGCATAGGGAAGGAGATCATTGTAATAGTTGAAGGGAGATGTGTTGTATTCATAACCCAAGAAACTAGAGAAGAAGGAAGAGACATTGAAGATAAAAGAAGCAGGAGAATTCAGTCATTGGGTGGAAGTGTTTATAACAACATTGTAGGATCATGAAGTACAATATGTATCACTTGTGTGAGATTAAATTGTTATTCAGGAATGGTCACTCCATTATTTCTTATCTCTCTGAGAGGAATTGGCATTAGCAACACATGGGCATGTAACTTAGTTAATGGGGTGGGAATGACCTAGGTTCCAGGCCTAGGTCTTAAGAGGCATTCTTTTTTTTTTTCCTCTCATTGTCTTTGGGACTTTTCATCCCACATCAAGAAAACATTCCCCATCCAACCTACTAGTCTCAAAAGGTGAGAACACTTGGAGCAAAACTGATCTGGATAGATGGCTGAAGCCTAAGACCAGCTGATCGCAGTCAGCCAAGATCAACCAGATGTACCCTTCCCACCCAGCTGCCATAAGTCAGAAACCAGTGTGTATAGTTGTATGACACTCATATCTTATTGTTTTCTAGCAAGACTTGTTGGACACACCACTGAGCTCCAACTTCCAAAAATCAGAAATGTCAATTACTTGCTACCTCCAATTCTATATTTATTTTTAAATAGTTGACCACAAGGTTCCAGCCAAAATTCACCATCTTTTAAGTTATAAAGAGTTAATGGAAGAAAATCCTCAAATATTGTATTTAAAATGTTTTTATTTTGTGGTTTATTCTTAGTTGTTTATCCACATATAACTATGAAGAAAGGCATGTAGATGCACTTGTTCAGATTTCACCTCAAATCTGAGAATATGTATTTTAAAAGTTGTTTTAAGTTATCATTAGAAGCAAGAGCATAAAGCCATATGAGAAGTACATGAGTAAATGTTAGTTTTACTTAGTCTTTAAGAAACAAGCTTAGGTGAATCAATTATATATTTCTGGGATATAGTCAATGTTCTTGTCCAAAACCCACTAGAGGAAGCAATTTTAATTTTCGAACTTTACATTGTTTTTAAAAGTTCTTTTTGACTCTCTTATTGGTTTGAAATAATGCATGTAACGTTTTCATATTTATTAGCCTAAATAAGAGCAAATAAAAGAGTGAGAATATATAGGGAGAGATTTTATTTGCAAACTTTTAAAAGTAGCTTACTTTAATACCCAATTCATTTGCAGATTATAGTCTAGATAGAGCGCATTAAAAACTATAATAAAAATTATCAAAAGGTTTGCAAGGTATATTCTCTTGTTTGAATTAAGCCCACTTTAGGGGATTGTGATTTTCCCCTTTTTATCTAAGTGCTCATAAACTGGAAAATAGCCCTTGTTTGTTTCTGAAATATTTTTTTTTGGTTTTGTGATTTGACAGAAATGGACTACAAAGAAAGCAAGGTAAACTGCTGTAATGTATGTCTAAAATCTATGACAATGATACCCAGGTGATACAAAGGTTGCTAGAGAATGCCAATTGATTGGAATGAACAGTCATTTTTTAGATCAGTTAACACAATATTTTGGGAAAACAAGTTTGTCCATGAAATGTGAGTAAGCCTCAATTTGGTACAGCCTCCTGTTTAGATGTCCTAAATGTTTGTAGGGTGGTGTCACCAATATATTGACCCCCCTACTGTTTAGCTTTTTAAGTTTTTTTTTAATTATGGAATTAATATAACAGCACTATGGGAAGATTAAAATAATGTAAAAGAGATTTTAAATAATTTTAACATCACTCCTGTTTTCATTTTTGTGTGCTCCTTTGTCTTTTAATAGAGCTTTAAAATTAATTACTAAGTGCCAGACAATGCTTTAGCACATGTAAGTCCCATGGAAACAATAGAAACTATTATCTGCTTTTTAGAGAGATGAGTTGGAGACTTTAAATAATGTCTTTAAGGTTACCGAGCTACCAAGTCCCAGGGCTGTGACAGACAACTAATTGTTTGATTTCCTGTCCCAAGCCTCTTAAATATGTGACTTACATAGTTGTAAACATAGCGTAAATAAAATTTTATGTCCTGTTTTTCCAAATCAATGCTGAATTATATGTTCTACACAAGAACGTAGCTTGTTATTTTAGCAGGTTGGTTTTCTTTAATTTAGATATTTCCTAACTTTCTTAACCATTCTCCTATTATGAGATATTGGACTACTTTCAAATTCCCATTTTCAAATTTTATAGTTTTCAAATTAATACTATAATTACTATCTTAATAAATCCAGCTTTTAAATCATTTACTTGTTTCTGTTTTCCTCCCCTATAGGCTAAAAGGTTTGGAAATTCTGAAGATTTTTTAAATGTGTAACATCTAAATATGACTTTTCCATTGTCTCAGTTTTGGCTAGGATTTCAAAGATCAAAAGTATATGTGACAATTACTGTTACCTTCTGAAGAGAGATGCCTGATCTTTTCAATGCGAGCTACAAAAGGGCTTTCACAAAACAGATTCAGCCTCTCTTAGTCCATCACCTACCTTCCCTTATATAACAAAAGGTAAGCATTCATTAGGGGAATTGATAAATTATTTTTTGGAACAATTGTCAGCATTATTCAGCATTTCTCTTTCCTTCCTCCATACTTTCTTAACTAACCTCAGGCCAAGCGAGGGAACTTAGAACTTGATATATGAGGGATTTAGAAAGCAAAGAGGCCAGCTCTCACCTGCAAAATATAAAGACAGGAGATTGGCTGGAAATAGTCCTGATGGCTGAACATGGAGAAAAAGTAGAGCCAGTGTGGACGCTCCAGAGGGTAGTGAGGCATGAATTACCTGGAAAGGATACCCATATGTGGCTTACCTGCAAGGGCTAACAGACGACAGAACTAAGAGGCTATTGGAAGATTGCCCAAGAAGCAGGGGTTCAAGTGGATGCCATTGATTGATAAATAACTTTTCAACCCTTGTTTCATAGCTAGCTAGTTGGGGCACTGCCCAATTCAGTGAATAGTATAGTGGATTGTTTTCACTGGCTTTTTCGAAGAACCTGAAAAATATCCTAAGTGGGAAGATAGCATTTAGGTATCGCCTGGCTCTAGATTACTACTGTGTTGATTGATATGCAACTTTTCAACCCTTGTTTTTCTTTTCCACCCAACATCACCAAGAGGGTGGTCAAGAAATAACATCTTGAGTAAGGGAAGAAGAAAGGATAAAGTGGAAAAATAATGGGTATCTGTTTTCCTTACTATAATTTTCCCAGTCCCACATCAGGAGTCCAGGAAAGAAGCTTAAAAGAGAATGAGACAATGAAAGATTTTGTGTTTTGGTTTTGTTTTGTTTCTTAAGTTTGACTAGGCTTTTGTACATCAGCCCTACTGGTAACCTGAAGATTAGTTATCAGAAGTTTTTGTGCAGGGGCAAGGATAGAAAGTTCAACACAGAATTTATCAGGCTGTTGCTGAAGAAAAATATAATCGTTTCACAATTTCACCCACTAAATTCAGTTATTCAATCAACAAATACACACATTTTCAAGTTGCATTCTAAAACAGGTTTACCAATTTACAATATCATCAGCAATGAAGGAGAATCAGTACCATGATACTCTTTCTAGCTTTAAACATTCTCTTTCTGTGTTAACTATAATTAACATATGAAATAGGACCCTAATTTATGATACTTTCTTATTATTAGCATAATTAAACAGTTTCCATTAGCATATCTGCTATTTTTATTTACCCATTTATACATTTACTGTAATATTGATCAGTAAATTATTGTTAATCATGCTAATTATTTTCTTATAAATTTAGCATGAGGGATTAAGAGATGAACTCAATCCCCTATTTGACACAACTATCACTGTAATTTTTTTACATTAGAAATGTTTTAATGTATTGAAATTTCAACTGTCAATTTTTTTCTTTAATTTCTACTCTGTTTCTTTATTCTTTTGTCATGAGATTTCTCATGTTTAAATGTTTGATTATTTTTCCATCTAAAGTTTATTTGTATAAAGCTCAGATTGCGATAAGCATGCGTTGAGTATAACAAATTGGCTGGAAAAAAACTGTCATTTGTACGATATTTTATTTTTCATCAATATTCATATTCTATTAATAGTTTAAAGCCCAATTATTCTCACTCTGTAGGAAAGGCTGAAGTGACTTTTAACAATAGATTTTCTTTCCCCCCCCAAAAAAAAAATCCAAGCAACTTCTCCCTTTGTAAGTATGGAACTGCCTAAGCTCAGCTTCTCTTTTTCTGCCACATCCACCCTCTCTCTCCCACCCCCACCACCGTTAGGATTTACATACCATCCATTGTCAGGGACGCAAACTCCACTACAGTTTGTTAATGTCCAAGAAAGGCCATCACCTCTGAATCATTTTTTCCCCACACATAAATCCTTGGGCCAACAAAGAAAAGTGGTATTTTTCCATTTCCATAATTCCTGTTATTTTAAGTCTATCCCTTAACCAAAGTGGCTTTTTGTTTTTTTTTCCTTGATAACTCACAGGTTCAAATGTAAAAATTTATTATTACAAGGAACAATTATGAGGTTCAAAGCACACTGTGTGCATTCCATGCTTCTAGCTTCTGGTACTGATATACGGAATAAAATATTTGTGGTTGTCTACTCGCATGAAGTGGATGGATTCCAACCGCTGGTGGTGAGAGGCTTAATGAATGTCTGCCTTCGTCAGACCCAACAGGGCTCTAGCATCATGGGAGGTTGCCCAAGTGCCATATTGCAGGCATCTCAAAAACAAACTTTTGACCATTTAACTTATTCTTTCCAGTTACTCTTCAACGTCAACAATAGCAACCACCAAAGAGGAAAAAATGGCTTTGCTTATTTTCTTACTTTAAATATTATTCTGGATTTTAAGATTTCAAGATCTCTTTCCCAAAACATTGAACTAGACAAAGCACTGACCTTTTTGAACACCTTTGGGTTTTGCTTCTTCAGTGCAGTCTGTTCAGTATTTTGATAATTTTCTGCTCATAAAGTCTTCCTTATTTGATGAGATACTTCATTTTCATAGTAAAACCAAACAAAAACAGAAAAACACAACATTCTTAATAGTTGCCATTTTCTTGCTGTCTCTGTTTACCTTTTTCTTAATAAGACTAGGACATAGTAGTTCCCTCTTCTGTGCTCCTATACAATGCTTATAACTGCATAATAGAACAAAAAATGCATTTTAGTTACTTGTATGTATGCTTGCCTCTTCTGGGATACTGAAAGCTTCTTGAGGTTACAGATCCATCCTGTGCATTTTATTTACAAAGCACATAACAAAAAGTCCAATACATGACAGGTAGTCAGTAATATGCTCTAGTAAATGAATTACCCTGATTTGTATATGATATTTTGAATGCCTCAAGATTTTAAAATTTCTGCACATTGATATCATACTGTCAACAGATCTTTTGCTGTTCAATGTTCAATAGCTTATCAATAATAGTTCAATTTAATGCTCTAAGAAATACTATCTAACAATACAGCTGACTTTTGGCATATCCAGATACTTAGTTTTGTGTTTTTTGGTGTGACAGAGACTGCAAATATGCAATAAAATCCATTGCCATTTCCCACTGGGTGCGCACACACACACACGCACACACACACACACTCACACACACACACACACAAATGCATTTCCTATTACATTTTGCAATTAAATATGGTCATATGACTTAATTGTGACAACAGATTATAGGCAGAAAAGATGTTAATCCATTGTAGGCCCATTTTATCATAATACCCCACAAGTGACCCTCGCTTTTTTCTATTTGTCCCTGAAAAGGGAAGGATCCGAAAACTGATAACACAACCTTAGGATAAAGATCAGATTAAGGAAATGGGTATTCACAAATATTATTTTGAAAAGCTTTGTGGAGGCTGATAGATGAGGCTGGAACAATGAAGGTCCAGGTCATGTTGTTTCATAGCCAAACAGGTGGCAAAACCATTTCATACATTAAACAGAAAGGCATAACACACCTCATGAGCCTATAAGCCTGTAGTTTTTGGATGTTAGGACAAGAGATTGATATGAGAGTAACAGTGACTATTTGCTACTATTGGCCTTTCTTAGCAATATGTTGCAGGAAGCAGATGAGCACAGACAAAAACAGGCTTGTTTTGAAGCAGAAATTGAAGTGGATATGTATCCAGAGATCAATAGCTTTTAGAGTTAGTAAACCTAAGTGCTTCTGCATCCTAATTAAGATAAATTGAAAAAGGGTCTGAATGACAAGAACCAAATAAGATTATTGGGAAAAAAAAAAAACAGACAATTTAACATAAAGATTAGATTAAGGAAACAGTATTCAAAAATGTTATTTCAGATAGCTTCAGGGAGGTTGGGAGTGGCCTGGAAGGGTATAGGTGAGGAAGCAAAAAAATAAATCAGGCATGAGAACTATCATGATGAAAAACACTTCAAATGTAGTTTTTTGCACATGGAATTAACTAGAAACAAAACTATTTAGATGCCTATTAGTTTGGGGAAAATTGTTTTGTTAAGGATTCTATCAGCATGGACTAAAGGTCTGACTTCTTAAGCTTTAAGGTTATTGCTGAGTCCACCAACTTTAATCAGCACCAAACATAATCGCCAACTCCCACTTCCTGAAGGCCATGGGGAAGACAGGCAAAAAAGAATCTCTCAGAGGCCGGAATTGGTAACCTTGGAGAAGAGTGAAGAATGGAGTTCTAAGGAGCATGATTGAGGAATAAATGAAACATTTTTTTCCAGCCAAATGGTAGGACCTTTAATATCTGCCTGGCAGGATTTCAAAAATGCTATGGTCCAGTAACAGCTGCATGCCTCTCATTTTTTCCTTTACCAAACAAGTATCTAAAATGTTTTCCTGTATCTATGTATCACCTCTGCATGGTATGTGCATGCCTGTGTGTGTTTGTGTGTGTGCGTGTGTGTATGTAAATATACATCATTTATAGATATAGAGAAGCTACTTCAATTCTGGTTTGGAGAGATGAGCATCACTCAAGGATCCTGGACTTTAAGTTTTATGCAATGACTTGTTGGGGCTGAGTTTTCCACTTTCAGAAAGGACATCTGTGTTCATGTGTATCAGGTAAAATGGAATAGATGTTTGGTGAACAAACAAACAGAATTGGCACAGACTGACTAGCTCTTCATCAAATGCATTTTCTTCATGTTCCAAGCACATAGATAGGCTGTATTTCCTAACTTCCATTGTACTTAGGTATAGTTACATAACTGATTATTGTTAAGGAAATATAAGTAGAAATAATTTTCACAGCCTCCAAGCCTGGGCGCATAAAACCACACACACAAAAGCCTTGCTCTCTTTCTTCATGTATTAACCGAACAGGGAAAGCTATCAAGCTCAGTAGGAAGGCAGATGCAGAATATGAAAGAAGTCCGAGTCCTTGAATAGTCACTTAGAAGATTGCTCTTCCAGAAACTCCTGATGTGAATAAGAAATAAATTTTTATTTAGTTAAGCCACTGATATTTGTAGCTTTTCTCTTACAGGCTGTGTTACGCAGAATGAAAACACACCCTCAAAGATGTCCACTTCCTTATCTTTGGAACTTGTGAATATATTAAGTTACACGGCTGAAGGGGGAAAATTAAGGTTGTATGGAATTTAGTTTGCTTGACAGCTGATCTTAGAAGAAAGGGCTATTCTGGGCTATCCATTTAGGCGCAATGTAATCACACAGTCCTTAAAAGTGGAAGAAGGAGCAGCAGAGGAGATCAGAGTGATGTCATATCAGGACTCTCAACTCACTGTTACTGGCTCTGAAGATGGAAGACAGGTTATAAAAGCGAAGAAATGCAGGTATTTTTAGGTTCTGAAAAAGACAAGGAAATGGGTTCTCCCTTAGAGTCTCCAGAAGGGAAGGTAGCCCAGCCAACACCTTGATTTTTGTCCAGTGAAAAACACTTCAGACATGTAACTTAAGAGCTAGAAGATAATACATTTATATTATTTAAGCCTCCAAGTTTGTGGTAATTTGCTACAGCAGCAAAAGAAAACTAATACATAGCCATTAACATTGTATTATTAAGTTTAAATTAAATGGCATTGTATAAATCCCTCATGCATCTCCTCCTTTCGGCCTATGAAAACATACTTTCAGATTGTTAGTTCATACTCTGTATAAACGCCTAAATAACATAAAATTAATACCTTCCAGGAAGATTTCAACTTTAGAGGGAAATCAAGTATTATAGTTAATGCATAAATCTCTACCAGATGGAAATTCAGTCTGGCCTAGAGAGTGGGAGAATTATTATTACAGCCAGCTGAATGGCAACATATAGTTCTCTTAGTTTACCTTCCAATGTTTCAGAACCACGCTTTCTCTGATTTTAGATTACCATTTGTTAAAGAGTAAGGAAGCTACTAAAACTGGGAAATTGAACTGTAGGATACCTAATCTACAAAAGAGGTGCGTTATCTGAATACAGAAAAAATACTTTAGCACTGTAGCTTGTTTTTCTTCTTCCAAGATGAAAGGCGTTAGAGTTACACTAACTGGTCTTGTAGATCCCTCTCTGTTCTAAGCTGCCATAAAGCAGATGAGTCTATATTTCTCTAATGGTTCCCATGCAAATTAGTTTATTAGTAAATATAAGTTTTCACATGTTTGGCTTTTTCCCACTATAATTGTTCTTATGATTGATACGCAACTAAGAAGATATGTGACAATAATTGGTAGTGACAGAATGACTATTTCAGTTATAAAATTGTTTCTTCACTTAATTGTCAACTGGTTAGGAGAAGTGGGATAACTTTGTCTTCCAATGGAAGAAAAAATTGACAAAGATATTGTAAATAAAGTTTAATCAGCAGACATCAGACTTGGTTGGAATCATACACATGGTAGTAACAGTCAAGCAAATATGGAGAAAAGATAATAGACAGCATCTGGAAATGGTCCTGAAAAAGAAACAGGACACTAAATCTCCATTAGCAGAGAGACAACAGCAGTCTTTTTGTGTGGTTTACTGTTATAAAATTCTGAATAGGAATTCTGTTTCACAGCTGTTAAAAGAGAATTGAAATACAACTGTGTCCAATAATTGAAAAACAGCTGTTCATTCGCCATGTCTAAAAACAATTATATAGGAGAAATTGGCTTGGCAGTATAGCAAAAAAAAAAAAAAAAGTTTAATTGTTTTAAATTGCTAAAATGGGGAAGAAATCCGATATTGGAATAGGAAATTGTATGAGATCATAAAATCTACTTTTCTGAGAGTTGAAAAATGGTTAATATTTTCTCTGCCTGATGTGCTATCTGAAGGCAGGAAGGAGTCCCAGTTTCTCTCTTATAGGCCCTTAGAGAGATCATTGTGATGCCAGTTTCCCTTTTTGTCTATTTTTCCTCAAGATATGTGCATATACTGTGCACATATCTGACACATCTTCTTAAGACTTCCCTTGACAGTAACTATTTCCCGCTCTACTGCAGACTAACAAAAATGGAAAATTAAAGGGAAATCAGTGGTCAGTGTGAGTCCTGAAAATTATGTTCTGCAGGGGGATTCCCCATGAAACACAAAGAGAAGACACAAAATATGCAACTTTTCAAGTCACATTTACAAAAGCCTTCTATTTTATCATAATTCACTCACCAAAACTACAATTGGATAGTCCTTTAGCATTCTGCAGTATTTCTCAACACCAACAAAAAGATAGTAAGGAATGTTCACCACAAGCCATGAGTAAAGAGAGCTTGTACCCCTCTATGAGGATCTGGTCACTCTGAATGGTCAAGTAATCAGGGGAAGTTTATTGTCAATGCTCGAATAGCAATGCTTTCAGCTATGTGATAACCTGCTTTTTTGCTTGCTTTCTATTAAAAAATGTACTTGATTCTGTGCAAATTCATAAACCAAACCCAAGATTCAGGGGTTAAAGGAAACAGTGCAGTAAACAAATGAGACAGACATGCTAATACATTGGAAACATGCTATTTAAATTCAGACTAGTTAAACAGGATGCCCTTTTGTCACTGACCAAATTGTTAAATTGGTGCCTTGGCAAGAGCCTTTTGTACTCGTCTGAAGATTCCTGGGATCCAAACCTCTGTGGTATTAAAACAAACAGAATAAATATTTTCCTTGAAGTTTACATCCAAGATCTAAATATTTCCAAGCATGTCAAACTCACTTTTCTCCTCCACTCCCTGCAGGGTCCGTGTAGACTTCGGCTGCCAAAGAACCCGGTTGAACTTGCCTTGGGAGGGGCTCCATCCCTGAAGACAGGCAAAGCTCAGAGCCAGGCGCAGAGTGTCTTCCAGCTGTGCTACTCTGCTTGGCAGAAGGAACTCAAGCAGCAGCAGGTGTGCTATCTGCTGACTTCAACACACAGAGACAGGGGAAGGCTCTGTCCTTGCTGCTTGTTCCCTAAGCTTGAATATCTGCCATTCCCTTTTACCTATTTGCAGAGAAGTGCCAAGAACCTACCCTGGGAAAGCTGCATTTCCCTTTATTAGCTTTTAGTGTGCAAGTCAGCTTTGTAGCTACATGACTTTTAGATCTACTTAAGCTAGTTGTATCTGTAAAATCAAGTGATTCCTCTACAGAATCTAGCAGTGAATATTAACAAGCGGTGTTTTTCCTCTGTCTCCCTAGTTTTGTACAGTTTTCCATCCAACGTGCAGCTGAAGTTCTCTTAGAAAGAGAAGGCAAAGAATCACAACTGAGTATGATGTCAGTATTTTTTTTGGACCATGTATCTTGGGGACTTACTCTGAAAGTGTCCCAGCGTAATCGCAAAGACAATGCTCTGGTTTTTATTTTTCTTCGTTTGCAGTTACTGACAGTAAATTTTCAAACTGCCATCACAAATTCATTGTAACTGAACTCAACCAGAAATAATGAACGTAACGTGGGCATCAATACCTTTGTCTCTGATTCCATCAATTCCTTGTCATCTCCCATCTCCTGTGTAGAACTAACAGAATTTGCTCTGCCTTTCTGCAAAATCACAGTCCACCATGGAGGCCTTGGTTAAGTCGTTTAATCTCATTCATCTTCAGTAGTCTCATTTACAAAATGAGGATACTAATTCCTAGATCCTGTAGATTACAATGATAATGATTAATGAACTGATTCGAAAGCAAGAGTCTCCTGGGAAGAAGTAAAAACAAAACATAAACATAAAATCCTTGCAAAACCCATTACATATACTTACTGCATACCAAGCACTATGTAAAGTGTTATATCATAATATGTAACCCTCCAGCAGAACTTCCAAGGAACTGTGACAAAAAGTTGTGCCACTTGGGACTTCAAATGTGATTTATTTTTGGTTACTCTGACTCTATTCCAGATGTAATCTGAAACAACTCCCTGCCTGTTCTCGCACAAGATCTCTTTCCTTTCTTCTTTTCTAATCTCAGTCCTACCCCATCCTAAATTAAGCCTTAGCAATTTACAACTCCTCTAAAACGCTGTCTAATTGATTTTCATGACTCTGATTGAATGTATCTGCCTAATTCCCCTGCCCCCCTCAGGCTTGGAGCCAGGTGGAGAATAGCTTCAGATGGGCAGTATCCTATCTGATAGGATGGCGCTCTTGTTATCCACAGTAGGGATAATAGCAACAAGACCTGAAGTGGTATCCTGGAGCAAGGCCACCATGAGAGCTGTGATGCAAAAGAGGATTGCTAATCTGAGGACATAAAGCATAGTATATGAGCCAATACTAAATCAAAACAGAGCATAAATAAGGACAACTAATAAGCCATGTCTAAACACTATGAAAAGGTTAAGCGGGAACTTTTTTTTTTTTTTTTTTTGAGACAGAGTTTTGTTCTTGTTGCCCAGCGGGGAGTGCAATAGCACGATCTTGGCTCACCTCAACCTCCGCCTCCCGGATTTAAGCAATTCTCCTGCCTCAGCCTCCCTAGTAGCTGGGATTACAGGCAGGCACCACCAAGCCCAGCTAATTTTTGTATTTTTAGTAGAGACAGGGTTTCTCCATATTAGTCTCAAACTCCCGACCTCAGGTGATCTGCCCGCCTCAGCCTCACGAAGTGCTGGGATGATAGGCATGAGCCATCGCACCCGGCTGGCAACTATTTTTAAAGTGGAGAATATATGACTTTTTAAACATTTGCAAAATCATGCAACCGTTATCACAACCTAATTCCAGAACATTTTTAATCACTACAAGAAATTTAAAAAAACCATTTCCATCAGCAGTTACTCCCTATTTCCCCTGGCCCCAGCTTCTGGCTAACCCTACTCTACTTTCTGTCTCTAAACATTTGCCTATACTGGAAAATGCGCTTCAACTCTGGTTGGCATTGTTCTTCTGGATGTATTGAAAGACACAAATGCAGTACATTCTTTCCTGTACACCTCCATCGATAATTCACGTCAAGTGTCACTCTGATTTTGCTATCCCTTTCATCAAGATGTTAACACCCTCTTCTCTTCCCTTCCCTTCCCCTTACACAACTGTTTCCACTGCTCCTTTGTTTGAGGTTAAGATACTTCATCCTAAATTCCATCTAACAATTTTGCATCCCCCTACTTCCACATGTGCCCTTAAATAGGAATCCAAAGTTTTCGTATTATTTAAGACTAGATCTAATGCCACCTCCTCTGCTGTTTCTTCTTAGATCAAACCAAGAAGTTAGCTCTTTTTCTCTTATGACCTTCAGCTCCTGGAGGACTCTGCACCATTCCTTGGTGTACACAAATATGCACTCCTCTGCTGTAGTTATTTCTCCTTCTTGACTGTAAGTTCCTTGATTAGTGGTACCATGCTTCTTTCTCACCCACAGTGCTGGCACATTGTGAGCAGATAGTAAGTGCTTGCCAAATAAATATACGAATAAAAAGGAAATTGCATGAAATACCCAAAGTAACCCCCACTTAGATAACTGTTACATGGAATTCTGGCATTAAAGGCCAAAATAATACTGATTACCATATAACAAATACAGTAATTTGACTAGATGCTTCTAGACTTTGGATACAATAACATGTGTTAGTGAGCAGTATAAATTGTTGGAATACAGTTAAAGACACTTAAATTGATGGGAAACTTGTAACTTAAAAACAATATGATTATTAATTTTAAAGTGAATGAAGACCATTTGCCCAGTGACTTCAGATTGTTATTCTACTGAGATTCAGATTTTGATAAAAATTTGTAATGAAGAGTCTGTATTCAATAGTTTCTCCCTTCTTTTCAAGCTATCTTCTTCAACCACTCCATTCTGTTTCCCGTTTGTAAAAATGATAATAAATTGCCATAATAATTATTCCTATATACACAGAGAGATCCACCTTATAACCTTCATTTTTCTCAATACAATTCGTCAGCCTGTCTTCCCAGCCAGTGTGCTTTGAGAGTGTGAGGTTCACTCGAACAGGTTTCTTTCTTTTGACATACATCTTAAAATGTCATTAATTAATTTATTGTGCAAACATGTAATGGAAATCCTGTCTTGTGTGAAGCACAGTGTTATAAAAAATTAATATGCTAAGGCCTCTGTCTTTACGATTCACATGGTTTTGCAGTGGATCAAGATGCCTAAACACAAGTTAAAGACAGATGCATGCAGAAAAGAGGCTTAGGTAAAGTGTCTATGAGTTCAGAAAGTGTTTGGATGGTTAAAAGATTGAGCTGTAATAAAACTGTCTTTTGACATGCTTGCTTTTATCTGATGGCCCCTATGAATCTGATCTTTTTTCCTTTTTGGTCTGTCTGCTAGAAATTTCAGAACCATTTTTTGTGGTCCACCTTTATCTGTAGTGTAATTTGACCTACAGTATAAATTTCATGCATAGATGGAAACCTGTACTTTTTCTTATTGTGCCACTTTAATTTTTTCTTTGTCTACTTTTTGGGTTGTATTTTTACTTTTGTTTTATGTATTTCTTCAAGCCAAGTAAAACACAAGTATATATATTTTAACGATGTGAAACATAAGTACTGACTAAAAATAATTCTGAAAAAGGCATACTAAAGACAGCTATAGAATCACTTGATTGCTTGACCATCTTCACTCTGAGAGAGAGAGATAGAGATAGAGAGAGAGAGAGAGTGTGTGTGTGTGTGTGTGTATGACTGTACAATTTACAAAAGAAAAAGTATAAAATCAAGTTCAATGGAGTCACAGTTCCACATGGATGAGGAGGCCTCACAATCATGGTGGAAGGTAAAAGTCATGTCTCACGTGGCAGACAAGAAAAGAGAACTTGTGCAGGAAAACTCCCTTTTATAAAACCATCAGATCTCGTGAGACTTATTCACTATCATTAGACTAGCAAGGAAAGGGCCCTCCCCCATGATTCAATTACCTCCCCCTGAGTCCCTCCCACAACACATGGGAATTGTGGGAGCTATAAGATGAGATTTGGGTGGGGACATATCCAAACCATATATTAATTTTGTATAAATTTAAGGGGTACAAGAGCAGTTCTGTTACATGTATAGATTCCATAGTGGTGAAGACTGGGCTTTTAGTGTAACCACCACCTGAAGAATATACATTGTATACATTAAATAATTCCTCATCCATCACCCCCTTTCATGCTCCCACCCTTCCAAGTCTCCAATATCTATTATTCCACGCTCCATGTCCATGTGTACCTATTATTTAGCTTCCACTTACAAGTGAGAACATGCAATACATGTCTGACTTATTTCACTTAAGATAATGGTTTGCAGTTCTATCCATGGTACTGCAAAAGACATGATTTCATTCTTTGTATGGCTAAATAGCCATTGTGTATATGTACCATATTTTCTTTATTTTTTTTTAACCTCTCCTTCCTTCCTTCCTTCCTTTCTTTCCTTTCTTTCTTTCTCTCTCTTTCTTTTCTCTCTCTCTCTCTCCCTCTTTCTTTCTTTCTTTCTTTTTTTCTTTTCTCTCTTTCTGAGATGACATCTCACTGTGTTACCCAGCTTGGTCTTGAACTTTCGAGCTCAATTGATCCTCCCACCTTGGCCTCCTAAACTGCTAGGATTACAGGTGTGAACCCTCATGCCCAGCCCCACATTTTCTTTATCATCAGTTTTATTCTATGGTGGTGGTTAATCTTGAGTGTCAATTTGATTGAAGGATGCTAATTATTTTTCCTGGGTGTGTCTGTGAGGGTGTTGCCACAGGAGATTATCATTTGTGTCAGTGGACTTGGAAAGGCAGATTTATCCTCAATCTGGGTGGGTACCATCTAATCAGATGCTAGTGTGGCTAGGATACAAGCAGGGAGAGGAACCTGGAAGTACTAGACTGGCTCAGTCTTCTGGCCTCCACCTTTCTTTCATGCTAGGTGCTTCCTGCCCTCAAATGAAGACTCCCAAGTTCTTCAGCTTTTGGACTCTCGGACTTACACCAATGATTTGCCAGGGACTATCAGGTCTTCCGCCCATAGACTGAAGGCTGCACTATTGGCTTTCCTACTGATGAGGTTGTGGGACTTGCACTGGCTTCCTGGCTCCTCAGCTTGCAGATGGCCTATTGTGAGACTTCACGTTGTGATTGTGTGAGTCAATTCTCCTAATAAACTCCCTTTCATATATGCATCTATTCTATTAGTTCTGTCCCTTAAGATAATTCTGACTGATACAGTTACCTGTCTTCTGTTGATGGATTTAGGCTGATTCCATACCTTTGTTATTGTGAATAGTGCTTCGATAAACATACAAGTGCAGGTATCTTTTTGATATAATGACTTCTTTTCCTTTGGGTAGATACCCGGTAGTGGGATTGCAGTATATAACAGTAGTCACATTTTTGGTTCTTTGAGAAATCTCCACACTGTTTTCCATAGAAGCTGTACTAATTTATATTCATTAAATTAAAATGATCATACTGCCCAAACCAATCCGCAGATTCAATGCAATTTCTATACAAATGCCAACATCATGTTTTTTACAGAATTAAGAAAAAAAATTCCCAAAATTGATATGAAAACATAAAATAGCTTGCATGAGAAATTATTTTTTCTGTCTTCATATCATTCAGTTGAAGATTTCAAAGGTTGTTAATTAGAGAATAAATACTTTTATAGCTCTATTCATGGTGTACTGATTCAGATAGCCTAATTTGAGTTGTTTGGTGTAATCATAAAGATATATTTGAATGAAAAGCAAAATAACCAATTATAGGCATAAAAACACTAAATATGCTGTCTATGCTCACTTTATTCCAGCACTCAAATACTGATCTGTATAAAGTTAAATTAATCAACAAAAAAGGTAATCTATGTAAAAGGAAAAGGTAATCTGTACAGATGTAACTTACATTAATGTCTCTTGGGTGAATCACTGAGTAAACAATGTTTTCTGAGCCCACATTAGAATTTAGACTACACTGGCTAGATGTTTTGCATACATTCTTCAATTTGATACTCAGATCAGTCTTAAAGGCATATATTATCCTTCTCATCTTAGAGAGAATAAACTGGGTTATAGTGAAGTTTGTAATAGGAATAGAAGCCCCGTTCTCAATGTTTTGCATGAGTTAATTCTTTAATCCTCTCATAAAACCAATGTGGCCAGATCTATTTATTTTTATTCTCATTTTATAAATGAAGAAATAAGGAACAGGGATGTTACATAAATCACCCCAGGCTATACAGTTAGTCATGAAGCCGGATTCAAACCCCAGCAGTCCGACTCCAGAGTGTTTACCCTGAGCAAAGTAATTTCCCCAAACTGATTTTATTAAACAAATGGCAGACACTCATGTTTGACACTAAAATTTATACCATGCTGTCTTAGAATTCAGTTCAAACTGCACGCCTACTGTCTACATCTTTTCTGTTGGTTTCAGACAGAATGCATTACTTCTTCTCCTGGGTTTCCCTAGAGATAGATAAGAAAATAGATAAGAGATACACAGATAGTTATAAAAAATAGAATAAATACAAATGTAGATAAACAGTACTTCCTTATTTTCTTTTATTATGTATATGTACCTTTTTAAAATAAGATTTCCTTCAATGTGGGGATTACTTAATAATGAAATCTCTCTTTTAAAATTAAATACATTTTCAAACCTGCATTATCTACACATGTATCCCAGAACTTAAAGTATAATAAATTTGAAAAAAATAAAAAATTAAAAAAATACAAATAAGTCAATGAGTGAATAAAATTAAAACTTCACAGCATATATATTTGACCCATTAAAATTTCATCAGTGCCTGAAATCCTGCAATAAAAGATTTGTTATTTTGGCTTAAATCCATTTGTCCCTTGGAAGGAAAAGATTCTGACAAGGATTGCTATATCAGTTCATATCTGTCTTTAATGTTTTAATATAAACACATTTACTAGGCCTTTTCCTGAGAATAATTTTGATGATGCAAAATACAGACAGAACTAGAACACACTATATCTTTTATAAGGTTACCAGAGATAACCATGGAAAGGAGTTAGGGACATTTGAGGTGGATACCAGAAAATTAATTTTGAAGACTAGAACTTTTGGGAGGAAATCTTGACTGTATTAACATTGCCAAATCTTATCCAAAGAAACATCATCTACAAATAAAATTCTTCTCTGAGTAAGGGAAATAAGGAATGACAAATCTGGGGGTGTTAGGTAGGTTAAAGTCAACAGACTCATAAGATTTCAAATTGTTATAACCTGTACTGTCCAAATGTGGCCTGGGCAAGAGAATCAGCTGGGGGCACTTGAAAAGAAAATCTTACCTGTGTCCCAACAAATTTCATTAGAATCTCTATATGATAAAAAAATAAAATATTCCCCCATGTGATTCTAACATAAGAGGTTTGGTGACAGAAGGCAGATGTTTACACACCAATGCTTTAGACTGAGCATCATCAACCTCTTATTGATAGTCTACCCAACATGGGCTGGGGGTGGATTAGTTCTTCAAATTTTTCCCCAACCTTCTAATGTCAATTTCAAGCCATCAAGACCCATGGTAGTGGTAGTGTTGGTGGTATATGTGGCACCAGGGCCAGCTTCATGGGCATGCAACCTGTGCATTCACATAGACCCACAGTCAGAAAGGTCCTGTGCATGGTCTAATGATCTACTGTCACTTTTTTTGGAATTCTTAATAATTTGGGAATTCTTAATAATTTTCACCCTCATTTTTTTTTGCATTAGGCCTCACAATTATATAATCTATATAGGGTGAAACTCATTAAAGGGAATGGGGGATAGGTGGAACATTGGTGGACAATAATCATTAGCAAATTTTTGATCCAATTAATTAGATAAATAATACAGTCACTAGTTAGGTGACTTATCCAGAGGATTCTTGAACAAGTCAATTCATTTATCAGACTTTATCTTGATCTCTAAAAAGAAAAGACAGTATTGGAGTAGATGGTCCTTAATGCCCTACCCAGTTCTGGTACTGTGGCAGAAATTGTTGTATGTTCAGCAAAACCGGTTTCCTTTTATTCCTCGACACACAGAAAGACTACATGTCCCAGATTCCCTTTCAGGTAAGTGTTGCCATGTGTATTAATTCACTGAGGCTGCTATAATGAAGTATCACAGACTAATACTATGTTATGCTGGAGAAATTTATTTTCTCACAATTTTGGAGACTAGATTTCTGAGACCAAGGTAGTAGAAGAGCTGGTTGATTTCTTGGGGTCTCTCTTCTTGGCTTGTAGATGGCTGACTTCTACATATGTCTTCACATGGTCTTTCCTCTGTACCCATCTGTGTCCAAATTTCTTCTTCTTCTTCTCAGGAGACCAGTTATATTGAATGAGATTCCATACTAATAACTTCTATTTTAGCTAATTACCTCTTTACAGGCCCTATCTGCAAGTACTATATGGTCACATTTTAAAGTACTGGGAGTTAGGATTTCAATGTATAAGCCTAGGGGAATAAAAGTCAACACAAGACATTATATAACGGAGTTTTGAACAATAAAATATGGGCAGGAGTCACAGATATCACTTTCAGTTCAATTCTACATATACATTAAATACACAGTTCTTTCCTTTAATTTCTTTTTCCCTTTCCAGATGACCAGGATAGAGACCACCTTCTGTGCAATCTTGGAAGCCATGGGGTAAAGCCACACAATGGAAGGATCCTGGATCCCTGAGTCACTACTTGGAGAAGAGCCACTCTACCAGAAATGTCCACACAGGAATACAATATGAATAAGAAAAAGTAATTATTGTTTTAGGCTCTGCAATTTGGGGGTTTATCTCTTATAATAGCTAGTACTATTATAACTAAAATAGTCAATGAGGATTCAGAGAAATCAAGATATCATATTTGCTTTACCTCAGGTAAGCAATTACTAGTTAATAAGCATCTATCAGTCTTCAGATCTGTGCTCGGTGATATAAATTTTAAAGAAATAAAAATCATAGTGTCTGATTTCAATATTGCTAGTAGGGCACAGACCACAAAGACACCACTAAATGCTGAAGTGTAGAGAAGTACCTCTATTTGACAGTTTTTTAAAATAGTTGATCTATGAAGGCTGAAGGATGAGCCATGAAAGACTTCTTTTGATGAATTGGACTTTAACCTTCAAGGAAGCCTGCGAGGTATTTAGATAAGTGATAGGTATCCCAGCAGGGAGGATGGTCATGAGCAGAAAGTCAAGGAAAAAAAAGCCAGGCATCAGTGGGAAAATGTGAAAATTCCGCCCAACAGAAGCAGAGAATCCTGCTGAGGAATGCTGGGTAATAAAGAAAAGCACCAAGCCCCAGCCAGACTCAGGACAGCCTAGGGAGCTAGATAATTATTTTAAGCTGGTTTACTTCAGTACAATCCAGCCTCCAACTTGATTGGGAAAATCCTTCAGAAAATTCTTGTGTCTGTTTCTTCGAACTTTTACTTGGTGCCTTTTTTCCTTAAGCAATTCTTTTCTAGAGTCTGTGAACAGACACTAAGAGAAAGTCATAAGGCACGTCCCCCTTTCCCCCTCCAAAAATGGCTTATTACCTCACTTGTCTTGTTTTTATTATTTTTATTCTACTGTAAGTCTAGTTTCTCACTCACATTTTATCTTAAGGGTTTTACAAAACTTTTTCTTACTAGAAGTGAATCCCTCCCTTTACTCACAGATAATGTAACAGGGATGAATTTTGAATTCTTAAATAAAATATTGTCATCATCATCATCACTCCTTCCTTCCATTGGTTGCTACTTTAATTCTCTTGCTTCCCTCTTCTGTGGGCCATTTGTTAGAAGACTCCAGCCAGCATTTCCTACAGCACTCAGTAATGCCACAGTAATAGTTTTTCCATTGAAAATACCACAAGTACAATATTTCCAATGGAAAAACCGCAAAAACAGTGTTTCCACTGAGCATACCACAAGAAGAGTGCTTTTGTGGTATCTAAATTTTGAGATGAACTCCTAATGCTCATCTTGGATTCATTATAACTACAGCCCCTACTCTCTGGAAAGCACTGAAACAGGGATGGAATTTTTATTTGTAGTTAAAAAAAATTCAATAAAAATAAAAGTTGGAGGATGCCAAGACAATTTTGCACTTGCTTATGTGAGTAAAATATAAATAGATTTAGCAAGTAAAAAAATGGGGGAAAAAACTTTATAAAAATGTGCAGAGAGGCTTAACAGCTGGCACAGCAAGGATATGTGTATGTGTGTGTGCGTGTGAGAGATAACATTTAAAACAGCTCAGCAGCTGGGAAAGCAACAACCTGTAAAAACACTTAACATTTACAGCCACTCAGTGGCTGGAAAACCAACTTCTCATAAAATCGATTTAACATTTTTGTCGCTGGTGAAGACATTTAATGCATACATGTTTATATATCTCTGTTTATACTGCAGCCCCATGGACTTCAGTGAATTTTGACAGCCATAAACTGGAAGAGAACATTTGAAACTATGGAGGGCAGATAATATTTTTGCACCGCTGACCATAACAATTATTGTCAACACATATAGAATTCTTTTAGATTTGTTGGTAAGTGTGCCTAGAGTCCAATCAATTATACTCTCTTTATTAACTTGTGTATTTGTACCATCTCACTGATCTGTAGTGCCCTACTTTAAAAAGTCATTTTAAAAAATTTTCATTTGAAAGCATTCTCTTATTTTCCAGGAGTTTAAGAGTAAGCCTCTTAGATACTGATCTGCCTGCAGTTTGGCAAACAAAGTTATCCGTCAGGATAGTCCAATTTTTTCATTTCCCTTGTTATATCTTAAATCAATTCAGTTAAAGAGGGTTACAATTTTCTATTTTTTTTTCTTTCAGTTGGTTTGGTTTAGTTTTGTTTCTTCTCTGGTTAGTTCCAGGTAATGAATTCAATTACCAACTGGTCAAAGAGAATTCCTTTTTTAGTTGGAGGTTGGGGGTGGATAATTTTAAAAAATAAATGGAATTTTAAAAAGTGTTCTTAATATCTCCAAAGTTAATAATCCACTGAAAAAATGCTAAAATGCTAACACGTAGCCCACTAATTTAATGATATGTGACCATGGAGATGGAAAAGTCACATCTTGAATGCTCAAGATTCTATTTTTAGAATATAAATCATCATGCCTGTTATTTACCCACCCCTCCAGATCGTTCTGAGACTCAAATGATATACTATGTGGAAATATGTTCAGTTGATGGTAAAGTACTAGCCATAAAATCTTATTGTAAAAATTAATAATAAAACTCTAACTCTCAAGCTTCACACATCGAAAACTTTAGCACATTTTATGTAACACTTAATTGAAATTATAATTATGCATTTTTCTAGACTCCCATTAAGTGATCATTTTTGTATCCCTTTGGAGGATGAAAGTTAGAGAAACTGGAAAATGAAGAGATAGATAATATATTAGGTTGGTACAAACATAATTGCAGGTTTTGCCATATTAAAAGTAATGGCAAAACTCGCAATTCCGTTTGCACCAACCTAATACATGAACATAAAATGATTCACTCTGAATCCAGGTGAGCCTTTTCATCTGCTTCCTTCTCTAATCAGAGCCCACCTCTGTCCATATGGAAAATTGCTCATTAACCTATTTGACAAGTATTTCATTTAACTTAAAGTTTAAATCTTTTTTGTAGTTTGAAGAAAAGACTCATGTTTATTTGCATCAGTGTTTTCTAAAAGCAACACTGAGAGGAGTTAGATACTACACTATTGTAACATTTCACTATGGTGGAACAAATATGATGGAGCTGCTGCTGCTGCTCCTCCTTCCTCCTCCCCCTCCTCCTCCTCCTCCCCCCCCTCCTCCTTTTCCTCTTTCTCCTTCTCTTTCTTCCAAGGATAGAACTAGACCAAAAAAAAAAAAAAAAAAAAAAGGACTGTACACACCTTTCCCCCTACAACTCACGAAATGAAACCCAAATGACATTGTTATATTTAGCGTCATAATCTTCCCCTAACCCTTAACAGATAAAGAAACAAAGAATTGAGAGAATTGAAATTTCAATTATAACAATTCCTTGAATTTCTAGGCCACTGATTTGTCCAGATTAAAAAACAATAATAACTCATTAATGTTTAAAATATAATAGACACTAAGTCTAGAACCTCTAATTCTAGCCAGGCATGTCCAAATCCATCCCTCTTTCATTGGCTTTATAACTGAATTAGGCTCAAATGGTACTACAAATAAAACATGAAAAGGAAAATAAAAGTTGTAAAATGTTAGTGTTTTGGTTACTCTTTCTCTATAGAAACCTTAATCAATTCTAACAGAGTGGAAATAAAATCAAGATTTGGGGAGGGCTGTTATTGAACTTGTCCATAACTTCATAAAGATACATATTGTTTGTTCAAGAATAGGAATTCAGTTAAATATCTTATCAAGAAAAGAGCAAACATTAATTCCTTAGTGTTGAAGCCTGGATATTTCAACCTCATAGAAAATAATGACAAAAAGAATAATGTTTTTAAAAGTTTAAACTGGGAGGGTGTGAGCTAATGCCACAAAAAGTCTTAACTAATGCCTGGATTTTAGGTCCCTAGGCAGAGCTTCCACTGGGCCCAAACTGCTGTCCTTTCCTCCCTCCCTGGCGATATCCAAATAGTGCAGGTTAACTACAGACCCCAGCATTGAGCAGTCATCCTTCCTGTGCGTAAGCTGCAAGACCTTTGATAATAAAGAGACATCCAGCCCTGTGTGGTGGCTCACACCTGTAATCCTAGCACTTTGGGAGTCCGAGGTGGGCAGATCACTCGAGGTCAGGAGTTTGAGACCAGCCTGGCTAACATGGTGAAACCCAGTCTCCATTGAAAAAAAAAAATACAAAAATTAACCAGAAACCAGTTGAACCTGGGAGCCTAAGGTTGGAGTGAGCTCAGATTGTGCCACTGCACTCCAGCCTGGGCAACAGAGTGAGACTCTGTCTAAAAAAAAAAAAAAAAAAAAAAAAAAATAGAAGAGACATCCAAAGCTCAAAAATTGTAAGCAAGAAAAATCAAGAACTACTATGGCAGAATCAGAAGGAAATGAGAACAGAGAATCAGTAATGCAACTGGCCCTGGCTTCTCCCCATTCCACTGCTACTAAAGTCAAAGAGAGCTGCCTTTAGACACATGAACGCATTAGGTAATGGGTTAATTACACTTAGCTTCCTAGATAGATATTATAAAACAGCATATTTTTAAAGGAGCTAAATTTAAAAGGTAGAGGAGTAGGAAGATAGTTATATCCTCTTATTGATACTTCCATGATTTAAGGGAAAATAAAACTATCATTATAGGCAGGATATAAGTAATCCATATTTGCTAATGATTTATAATTATTTTAATATCTTACATCTCAAAGCATTCAAAATGTCTAAATGTGGCTGGTGGTGGTGGCTCATGCCTGTAATCCCAGCACTTTGAGAGGCCAAAGCAGGTGGATCACTTGAGGTCAGGTGTTCAAAACCAGCCTGGAAAACCTGGTGAAACCCCATCTCTACTAAAAATACACACACACACACACACACACACACACACACACACACACACACAATTAGCCTGATGTGTTGGTGGGTACCTGCAATTCCAGCTACTCAGGAGTCTGGGGCAGGAAAATCGCTTGAACCTGGGAGGTGGAGGTTGCAGTGAGCTGAGATTGCACTACTGCACTCCATCCTGGGTGACAGAATGAGACTCTGTCTCAAAAATTAAAAAAATAAATATTCTAAATGATAAATGAAATGTTATAATGTTATTGAACAAAACAGGTAATGTTTCCACTTCACGGGTTCTTAATTCATGCATGTTTTTACTACTGGCCAAAAATTTTAAAATAAGTGAAGTGCAGAGATGAAAGCAATTGACAGTATAAAAATATGAGGATAAGAAACAGCAAGAGACTTCAGTAAAGATACATTTGGATCTTGCAGAGAAAAAAAGAACTGAAAAAAAAAAAAGGAAGAAAAGGGCAGGGGAGAGCAGAGGAGAAACTTCTGGAAAAAGATACTCTCTTGGCAAGATGAATGGAAAATAAAACTGCAGAATGAAAGACTGCTTAAAGAGCAGTTCCTAATCTTCTGCCAACACAGGCTAATTTGTATTTCTGGAACTAGCAGAAAGGATGTCAGCTGAAGCTCATGTTAGAGTCACCTTGCAGCAAATGTTACACTGCACATGTGCAGTCAGAAGAGAGTGGGATGAATTTAGGTTTCACAGAGTGAAGAATGACTTCAGGAACTCCAAACATCCCATTCCTGAGCTTCGACTTCAGAACATATGCTCTCCCTTTCTAATTGCACATAGGAAATAAAGAGAACAGGGTCTGGGCTGCCAATTAAAATCCAAATTTGGCTCCACGTGAAGAGAAATAGCAATCATTCAGCTGTAAATGCTTCTTTAATGAGGTATGAAGAACTAAGCTTGTCACCAAGAAACAATTTTTAGTGGAGAATTCTAAGAATTAAAAGAGGTGAACAAGCTATGCACACTTCAGATTACCATTCTCACTCTTCAATTTGTTTTGGTTACTGTGAACAGGAATCAGTTTGGTCTCTTCTTTTTCCACATAGTTTTCCATGTCATGATGATGACTATTAGATTGCAGATCCCTAGAAAGTGACTCTTCCTTTAATCCTTCTTTCCTTCTTTTGCCTTTCCTTATAGCCTTCTTCTTTCTCTGCCCTTCTTTACAGGTTTCTTGTAAACTCCATTGAAAGTATAGAAAAAACACTTTGCTGAATTTTCACAAACTAAGCCTGTAAGCATAATCAGCACTCAGATCACAAGGTAGGAAATTTATAACATTGCAGAAGGTAGGGATGTCCCCTTCCAGTTACTACCAAAGGTCAACATTGTTCAGAGTTATAATAACCTAGATTAAATTTGCCTACATTTGAACATTATGGAATGAGAAACATCTAGTCTATTATCTTTTGGGTTTGGCTTCGTTTTGCCTGGCATTATGTTTTGCCTGGCAATACTACATGTTGCTGCCTGTCACAATAGTTTGTTCATGCTTATTCATGCTTATTCTTTCTTCATTGTATGGATATATAGCAATTTTATTTATAGGCTCTTCCATTAATGAAAATTATCATGTACATATTTTGGGGAACATGTGTATGTACTTCTTTTGGGTATATGCCTAGAGAAATATAATTGCTGGATTATAAAATATAATTTTCTCAGCTTTAATAACCATTGGAATGCCCTCTTTGTCAAGTTCTCCTTCAAACTTTATGCTCATTTTTTTTTTGCCCTTTGACTCTCTTAATGGTTTATTTTGAATGAACAGATTCGTAGTCAAATGTAGGTTGATTTAACCACCTTTCCCTCTTTTATGGTTAAGGAGCTTTTTGGGTCTGATTTTCAAAAGCTTTGTCAACTTGAAGACCATAAAAATGCCTTCCTATTTCTTCTTCTAGAAGCTTTATTTAGTTGTAGATTTAGATCTACATTCCACCTAGAATTGACTTTTGCGTACAGTGTGAGGTAGAGGGTGGAGGAGGGACAACTGCATTCACATAGTTAATTAGCTAGACAGAGAAACGAGACATGACAGAACTCTTTACTCCAGGGAATTCTTGCAAACCAATTTCTCTCAAAAAATGCTTCCTTTATCTGTGAGTACCCCTACTATCAAGATAATAGATTTCTCACCAGGGCAAGCAGCTCCTGTATCAAAAAATTAGTTTCCTTATCTAGACTTACTTCAAGCCTGACTTTGTGATGACCAATCCTAAACTACTACAAAACTGATTTTTCCTAATCTCAGTCAGTTCCTAGCCTTGAAGGATCTTACTTT